ATTTATCTAATATTTTTGTCTAGATAAATTTGAATTTTCTTTTACTTACCTTAATGAGATCATGAATAACAACAAATTGAGTATTTAAAATTAAAAAATAATAAAGAAGTTATCTAATAAAATAAATTATTAGATAGATAAAATAAAGTTCAAATTTATTTTTACCAAAAAAATATTAGATAAATTTTTGTTCAATTTAATTCTCTAATTTTTAAATATTGTTCAATTTATAAAAATTTAATTTGGTCTTATTATTTTTAAATGATTTAATTTGACCCTTTAATTTTCAAATATTGTTCAATATTACCCTTATGTCAATTTTTATTATTGTTGTTAATGTCAATTTAAACAGAAGAATAATATTAAACATTTTTTTAAATTAGAAAACTAAATTAAACCATTTAAATATAGTGGGGACCAAATTGAATGTGTGCTATCAACTTTTTTTTCTCAATAAATTTCAATCAATTAAAAAGAATTTGTTTAAAAGAGTGAATTTGAAAGTAATTCCTAGTATTTCTCTTGTTAGTGATATGTGAGCATTTTATAAGAAAATTCTAACATGAAACACTTTGATAAGTACTTCATCCATGATGCATCAAATAAAAATATCCCTTAAATGATTCATCTATTTTTAAATAATATATATCATAGATTTATTATTTTATGGAATTAATTTACAATTATGCTATTATATAAAATAGTTAGATGGTTATGATTATTGGGTAATTTAATGGGGGGAGTGATTGGTAAAAGGTGATGCAGCCATTGTCATCAGTAGTTTTCCAGTTGTGGGAGTTCATTTGAGTTGATTTTACAATTTTTTTGTCGTTGTATGCGGTGAAGACACGGTGAGGTAAATAAATTCTCACTTTAGGCTTTTTTTTAAAAAAAATATTTTATATTAACATTTATATTTTTTTTTTTTGTTTTATAACTTAAATCACTTTTTTTATTTTTAAAATCTCATTTTAAAATATTTATCTCAAAAAATATATAAATATAATTATTTTTATCATCTCGATTCAACCCGGTCATATATAATAATAATAATAATAATAATAATAGACTTAAATATGTTTTTAGTCCCTCAAATTTAGGATAAATTTGTTTTTGGTCCCTGAAATTTAAAATTATTATTTTTAATCTCTATAATTTCAAAAAATCTTATTTTAGTCCTTATATTCAAATTTTATTAAAAAATTTATCAAATATTATTGCATAAAATCTACATATTAATGTTACTATTAGTGAAAACATCACATTAAATCTAATTGATATTATTTAATTATCTTAATTTGTCATTTTCATATATATTATTAGTGGCCTAAGAGACTAAAATAATATTTTTAAAAATTTCAGGGACTAAAATCAACAGTTTCAAATTTGAGGGACCAAAAATAAATTTATTTTAAATTTGAGGGATTATAAACATATTTAAACCATAATAATAATAATAATAATGTTTGAATGATTATTTTCTTAGAGCAATATTCATTGTCACTTTTATTTAGTAAAATTTTTTGTGTTTTAGATTAATAGCATTGTAATAATATAATATATTTTATTTTAAAATTTATTTTATATTAATTAACATTGATTTTTTGACTTGATAATAATGTAATAAATTAATAAATTTATTTTAAAATTTAATTTGTATCATTGTGTACTTTATAAATTGATAATATTGAATTTACAATAATGTATATCAATTTAAAATATTTAAATTTTTATAAAAAAAATAAATAAATATAATTATATTAACTTGATTAACCCAATCTAATCTAATCCAACCCGTGATTAGGTTGGGTTAGATTGAGTTTTTTTTAAAAATTATTAAAATCTAATTCAACCCAACTTGTGATTTATCAAAACTTAACCTAATCTAACCCTACTAATCATTACTGTATTAATTATTTAGATATATTTATTTATTTTTAATATCACTTTATTTTATAATAAAATCTATATATAAAAAAATATAGAAATAATTTTGATAAAAAGATGTTATTCTTTTTATAGATATTATAGATTAAATACCAAACTTCACTAATTAAATTTAAAATATATGACATTAAATATATAAATTAAATATAATCATTACTTTTTTAATTAAAAATAACATAAAAATAATTTTTCTACACAACCAAAACTGGTTAGTTGAACAAATTGTACGAGAATAATTTCTCATTTGCAAGTATAATGCCATATCTTTGCAAGTATAATGCCATATTTAGGGGTGTAAGCGGTACGGTAACTCGAAAATTTGAACTAATCCAAATTAACTTAATGAGTTTAGATCAAATTTTTTCTGTGTTTTGGTCAAATTTAACCTAACTTGATCTAAATCCAGTGTTGTACGGGTCGGGTAACAGATTTTGTGTTTTTAACCCATTATCATCTCGATTCAACCCGGTCATATATAATAATAATAATAATAATAATAATAGACTTAAATATGTTTTTAGTCCCTCAAATTTAGGATAAATTTGTTTTTGGTCCCTGAAATTTAAAATTATTATTTTTAATCTCTATAATTTCAAAAAATCTTATTTTAGTCCTTATATTCAAAAAAATATTTATTTATTAAAAGATATTATTAATTTTAAATTTTTACTTTAAAATTTATTTTAGACTTAATAATACGTTAGGTTGATACTAGATAAAAGATATTTTCAGTTTTTCAAATAATCAAGAGATCTGTGACTGAGTATGTCCCCAGTACTGATATGAAAATGGATGCTTTCCTTGGATTTCCCAATGCAATGATGGTGGTGTGGAAAGATCTGCGTATTTACTGTGTGATTGTTTAATATGGTTTGTACATTCGGTTACTCTTTTCATGTTGAATTTTTGGGTTGTTGGTGGCATACAATTTTCAGGTGGGTGCTGCAATTTTAGGTTGTTGATACCGATAAAATGAAAGATATTTTGAAATATACACGTGTAAAGTAAATAACTTAAAAATAATTAAAATATTCATATTTTAGTATATTTTAAAATAAATATATTACATCAATTTTATTTTATAAAAATGAAGTATTAAATTATTTTGAATTAATATAAAATTTCGTATATATAATCTAAAATATATGAATTCTCAATATAAAATTATTAAGCGATGTAATACTTAATAAAAGTTATACCGATATAATTATAACTCCTCATATATATATAGTGACGGATCTATGTGTAAGAAAGTGGGACACTTGCCTCCCCTACCATTTTACACACATTTTTTTTTATAAAAAATAATATATTTTTTTTTAAAATAAATATTATATTCTAATAACATAAATATATATTTAAATTATCATATGAATAAAATATAAATTTAAAAGAATTGTTCATATTTATTAAACTTTCGATGGAGATTTATTTTTACATATGATAAAGAATATTCTTTAATAACGAATTAATTTTTTTAAAAAGTTTAATTTTTGATATATACTTTTTATTTATGTATACATTAATTAAAAAAATCAAAATAATAAAAAATTGTAAGATTATATACGTTAACTAAAAAATTCAAAATAAGAAATATTAAAAAATTTATATTTCATTAAGAATTTTTATTATAAAATATATTTTGAAATAAATTATTATCCAAAATTATATTAGATATAAAAATATGTTTATATCATATATAAATTAAACTTGATTTTTATACAATTTAACATATTTATTTTTAT